AGTTTTTGTTGATGGGTGATAATAAAATATTAATAAAAATTCCTATTCATATTGAAACAGTAATTAATCAACAATGATTACGAACTCGCTTTCTTTAACAAACATTTTACCTGTTGTGCACAGACAGCTTTATGAAGCATCTCTTGTTGTACTTTTAAAATGATCACTAGATGTCGGTAGGATGCGCATTTTTACTAAAAGTTTTGGTGTTCGATGTGGCGTGATTTCGCACGAGTCCGCGCTATATCTCTTATCTCTGCGCACATTCTAGCAATGTAAACAAACAACATCTACGCTGTATTTACCTGTGTGCATTTGTGTATGTGTCACCTTTTTTCATCACAAACCGCATTGCATAGCACACGAACTGCAATCTTCAGTTGAGTTCGATCTGTCCTTCTCGCAAGTTGGCCTCGGCCACGTTCGGTGATTGCATTTTATTCTGTTAACAATTGAAAATATTTAATCTGTAAGAATCGTGCGTCGTGATTTATTAAGATTGTGTGTCTGTGCATGTTCGGAAATCAAAAGGAATTCTATCTGTGCGGAGTGATGAACTGTTGTTCTTCGGCTGCCGGAACCAATTCAACATCAGTTTTGCATTATTTTGCACTCAATTTTAGAACAAGTACGTAACTTCATTTATTTATGTTGATAATTGCATTACAAATGTTTTTATGGCAATGCAAGACTTATACGACGTCTAACTGGGCAAATCGACTTTACACAGTGTTGATGCAAAATGATCTTACTCTCTTTTTTTGTTTCAGCACTGGCATTTGATGTGCGGTATGCAATATGCTGGTAAGTTAATAATTTATATTTGCATGTCACTAAAATACGCACGTAGAACATCCAAATTAGAGTAGTATTCGTTTCTTTCTCTGCTGGTTATCAGTACTTGTATATAAACAACTTTTTTTGCTGCGTTCAACTCTCGCTCTTGGCGCGCGCGCTTGCAGAATTCACGACATGCATTCGAGTCGTGTTTTTAAATTAAATTCATTTCGAACTTCACGATATTTTATGTTTGTAATCAATTAATACCCAAAAATTCAAAGGTATCTTAAAAACCCTCCTTAAACTTTGTCAATATTTACGTTCGTCAGAACGTATCATGGAAATTTGCCACTATATCGTAAATTATTTAATATATTAGCGTGTTTTCTTAAATTTTATATAGCGCAAAATAGTCTTAAAAATTCTTTCAATTTTAAATAGCACTCTATTTACATTGCGACGTAAAGTAAATGCCTTAAAACTGCCCTCAAACTTATACGAGTTTTGTGAATTTTCGAAACACGCGGTGAAAATTCGGCTGTATCTCGTGAAACGTTCATGCGATTTTAGTGATTCTTTCAAATTTATATAGCGCGTGAGGTATTCTATACAGGGCCGATGAGAGGGTGAGTCAACTGGGGTAAATTCCCGGGACCCGGCTGATCGCTGTTAAATCGCAAACACAAAAGAATGAACAAAATGCACAATTAGGAGATATTCGCAATTCAAAAGGGCAAAAACAAAAATTGCTTTTAGTCACGTACTTGGTCCTTTTATCCCATGAAATTAAATTATTTAAATTCTTATCTAATGCAGAATTTTCCAATCTTTCATAACTTTCAATCCGTTGGTCGAATTCACCTTTAGTTTAAAAGATATGCACTCTTATCGTTCATTGACTCGAATATGTCAAGAACGGTGATTTTTTCTTGTTTATTTAGTTATATTGCAATTAATCGCAATTGTATAGTTGAGTACTGTATGAGGGTAGCGGTAGAAGTGACTCGTGTTTAGAGCATCGTACAAGGGCAGAAGTGACTCGTGTTCAGGGCACCGTACAAGGGCAGCGGTCGAAGGAAAATCGAACGAAAGTTGAAAATGTCTACTTTTTAGTACTTTTGAATACGATTTCAGAACCTTTACACTTCGAATTTTAATTATATTCTGGTCTTATCTTAGAGGGAATTTTCCAAAATTTTATAATCTTTGATTGGTTGGTCGCTAGCGCTTTTAATTTAAAAAATATTCGCTACCGAAAATCCTCTATATTTAAGGTCGCGTGCCATCGACTCACCGCATTGCGTATCTATTGCCTTTACCTGCCGGGTTAATGCAGCAGGTGCAGTCTTATTTTGAATTGTCGCATTGTAAATTCTATTCAAAGATGGCACTAGCATGAACTAAAAATCATAAAATAGAATTGCACTCGTTTTGAATCATATCAGCGTTTGTGTATAAACCACTTTCTTAGCGCATCCGCCGTGCGAGATGCTACGCGTAAGATTCTCGTTGCGCTGTCGCATGCAGCACATTTTAGTTTAGTTCTTATCACAGGTACCTACTGTGTCTATTGCAATTCGTGCACAAGTTCGCGTGCCGTCGACGCGCATCCGGCTTTGCGCATCTATTGCAATTCGCGCACAAGGTCGCGTGGCATCGACGCACTGGCTTTGCGCATCTATTACTTTTACCTGCCGGGTTTATGCAGCAGGCACAGAGTCTTATTGTGAACGTTGTGAACTGTCGCATCCTTGTGTGCGCAGTTTCAGCAAGCACCGAAGCGTTCCAGCGACGCGTGTCGTTCGATCGGACTTCTATTTTCTAAATTTGCATTTCGAATATGTTCGGTCATCAATCGACTTAGTTGTAACATGCATCTGCAGTGTTATGTTAGTGATTAATTCTGCGTTTATGTTCATAAAAGTTTTTTTTTGCTTGGTTTTGATGTTCATTTTTCACATTAAAAGATTGCTGCGGTTTCATTGTCGGTTACTGTGTGACTTTATCGGTCAATCGGATCCTGCCAAATTGTTTTCCGTTATTAGGAAGTTCTTTCGTGTTTGCGTAAGTAACTTTTATCTGGCTATTTCGAATGTTTGTTTTTCTCCGATGTGTGAATATAATATTATTGACGTGATAACGTCTTTAAAATCGTTTTACGGGTGACCGGTTCAGAAACATTGTGTCACGAGCGAGGTCGATCGCAGGTATACCCCCCTCTCGTTATAACGAGAGAGAGACGGACCGATCTCCCGTCTCATCTCGAGCGCTGCCAGTCATTCCGACCCCCCTCTCGTTATAACCAGAGAGAGACGGACCGATCTCCCGTCTCATCTCGAGCGCTGCCAGTAATTCCGTGCCAGTCATAGCGTTCGAGTGAGTTGACCGATCTTCCGTCTCTCTCACTCTAGCGGCATACAAACGAATGGAGATTTTCTCGTGCGGTTAAGTTTTCGTTGAATGTTTTATCGGCCGATAAAAAGTTTGTAGTGTGCGGGGAGCCTAACAGTAAAACAAAATGTGAAGTGCAAGTGAAGTGTTACAACAATTGCAACAAACAAAACTTATATCACGAATAAGACGTTATCACGTAAACATCTCGATCGTAAACCTACTTTACAAACAACTTAAATTTTTTTTATTGTATCATAGAGTATAAATTAAAGCAATATTTGCGATTTGATAAGTATTATTAAATTGCTTATGACTGGTATTTTCATGCAACATCAACTTTGTTGCATATTTGATAAAATGTGTTTTAAATTTAAACCTACCATTAGTAGATAGTCGGTTTGATGTCATGTTTTCGCGTTAAATATTGCTTGTCGGTGGTAGTGAGTGCATACCGTGTCCGTGTGCGATCACGCGATTTCGCACAAGAGATAAGATTGTTTACCTGCAGATATCACATCTTGCAGTTTATACAGTAGAATCTTGATAACTCGAATGTCAAGGGAAACCAAAAAAAATTCGAGATAGCAAGTTTTCGACTTAACAAGAATTTCGAGATATGAAGATTTAACTCATCAAATTTCGACATAAAAAGGCACAATTTCATAGAACATTTATTGCGACAAATTACATTAGGTAACATAAAATGAGAGTCAAGTACATAAATATAATGAATGAACTTACACTCTATGTTTTAAATAATTGATAAAAAAATCTGTTATCTTCGTTTGATTCAAGCCATTTACAGATTTTTTATCAATTATTTTTTCTAGTTCATATAGTGAACCGAATATACGATACTCGATATCATTACATCTTTCAATGTAAGTTCGTAGTGTATCAATTGCTGTATTGTACTCATGTTGTTGCTTGTTAACAGCCAAACAAATATGTACTGACTGAGCCAAGTAACCAAAAGTGACCAAAAATGAAGAAACATAACATCTGTGTTTCTTAGAAATTAGAAAGTTTATTGAATGAATTCATTCCTTGCACGTGTGCAAAACAAAAACAATAGATAAGAGGCCCCGAGCCCCGAACATTCCTTTTTGATTTTATTGCCACGAGTTTTAAGCTACGGGAATCCCGAGTTTTGAGCTCCGGGAATCTCGAGTAAGAAATCATAAAATTTTATGAACTTCAACTTACTGAGGTAGTATTTGCAGTTCGAGTTACTGAGTATTAAAATGTACGAGTAATGCCTCACAGGGAAATAACTTATTGTTCGAGTTACTGAGTCTAAAAAATTCGAGTTACTGCGTCGTTCGGGGTTCAGCGGAAGCGAATAGCATATCTTTTCGAGTTACTGAGGATTACGACTTAACAAGGTTCGAGTTCAAGGTTCTACTGTAGTTTATTATAAAATCCTCAAGAATGCAAAACATTTTTATTATCAGCAGATCACTTAAGCAGATATCACTTAAATATTTAATGTAAAATCTGGCACTCTGTCCGCAGAAGAAATCAGAATTACACAAATCGAATTTTAATTTTTCATTACTTTTTATTAATCTAAATTTTGAAACTACTGTATCATTCATAGATTTGTATTGTTTATTTTTATATTTTTCGGCAAGCGTGAGCATTCGACACGAGAATTGTGTTTGTTTTGAACACAATTTACACTTTTTTATCGCATTGTTGCATCATATTTTAGTTTTGATTGCAGCTAATAAGTAACTTTCACGTAAACAGCATAGATGTTTATTTTTCTCTGCTGTTTGAATATAATATTACATGAATATAATGTTTTCTTTTCTTATTTATAGTATTTGCCGTGCCTTAGAGTCCGATGTGATCTGCATTGGTAAGTTTATGATTCAATTATATTATTATATTGCATATACGCAATAGTACTCGATGCGCTGGGAATTGTAATGTGTTAATATTATAACACGCGAACGCGGTCTTAAACTAAGTTCGGATTAATTTTCCCAGATGCGGAATTAAATTTAATTCTTTATTTCCCTGTATCGAAATTTATTGCGAGAAAATTCCGTAACGCGAGTTATAAAAATAGTTGTGTGTATACGCATATACGCAATAGTACTCGTTGCGCTAGGAATTGTAATGTGTTAATATTATAACACGCGAACGCGGTCTCAAACTAAGTTCGGATTAATTTTCCCAGATGCGGAATTTAATTCTTTATTTCCCTGTATTGAAATTTATTGCGAGAAAATTCCGTAACGCGAGTTATAATGATAGTTGTGTGTATACGCATATACGCAATAGTACTCGTTGCGCTAGGAATTGTAATGTGTTAATATTATAACACGCGAACGCGGTCTCAAACTAAGTTCGGATTAATTTTCCCAGATGCGGAATTTAATTCTTTATTTCCCTGTATTGAAATTTATTGCGAGAAAATTCCGTAACGCGAGTTATAAAAATAGTTGTGTGTATACGCATATACGCAATAGTACTCGTTGCGCTAGGAATTGTAATGTGTTAATATTATAACACGCGAACGCGGTCTTAAACTAAGTTCGGATTAAGTTTCCCAGATGCGGAATTTAATTCTTTATTTCCCTGTATTGAAATTTATTGCGAGAAAATTCCGTAACGCGAGTTATAATGATAGTTGTGTGTATACGCATATACGCAATAGTACTTGTAGTTTCGTTAGTATAACGCGCGAACCGAATGCTGAAATTAACAACTGATGTAATGAATTATTATATTTTATTTTATTTTAGTGCACTTCAGAAATGTGCTATTTCAATTCTACACGCATATCGGGGTTTGTGTATAAACAAGTTTTTATATCGCTATAAACGTGCGCAATGCTGCCTCTCATGCTACGAACGTTCGACCGCTTCAATCTGTTCTTACCTGCACGCGGCTCGGCATCATTCTTTCATTCATTCCGATTACATTACATTTTATTATTGATTGAAAATGAGCATTACTAACGGCACCTAATGACAACAGACATGTAGATTGTTTTGTGTAATTAACTACTGTCCTTGGCAGGATATGCCGGGAATATTGTGTGTTAAAATAGTACAGGTTCATTATCCCTCAAAACAAATTTAAATAAGTGTGCATCATAGTGCGAGTTCTCACACACGTGTTGTTTTTTTGTTTCAGTACTTTCTATGATTACCTGATGCACTGGTAAGTTTGTAAACGTTATTACATTATACTTTCATATTTATCTAAAATTGCATGTAACGTGAATACCGTAACAACACAAAATTGATGCGTGCCGTCGGATGCGACTTGGATCTACCCGCAGAGTATGGTCATGTCAATCATCGGTTTAATAACGTGAAATTTTCCTTGCTTGCATTTTTATTTTTATTTCATAAATCTGCCGGCTCTTTAACGTATTTTCGTAGTTTGGCAATTAATTATTGAGAGTAATAATATATTTCTAAAATATTTGTAATATATTTGTAAAATGTAGCAATTTTCTTTCTTGTATCACCCTATGTTCTACTTTACCTTGCGTTCTAGTGTAAAACTGACCTAATTTGTCGTTTCTGGGTCGTTTTCTACTTAAACTTTGTATTTTATTTTTAAATTTAGGAATTTCCTGTTTGTATCACCCTGTATGTTTGTTTTTCTTGATTTCCTATTATAAGTTTTCTAAATTTGTATTCCCGACTATTTTCTTTTTTGTACACTTGATTTTCTTTTTGTGATGTAGTAATTTCCTATTTGTAGCACCCTGTATATTTGTTTTTCTTGTTGTCCGTGAAAATTTAACTTTAGTTGTTGTTTTAGGTTTTTCTTCTTTGCACTTTGAATTTTCTATTTGTAACACCCTGTATATTTGTTCCCATTTTCACTCACGCAGAAAATGGTCTATTTCTTCATTTCTTTATCCCGGTAGTACTTTGCGAAGTGTAACTTGCTTGCTTGTGCACGGCTATGCAGGTCGTAAGACCTGTTTCAATATGGCGACATGTACGAGTATTTTGTTGACTTGTAAAATATAAACTTGTATTCTATTGTTAATAAAGAAATAGTAAAATATATTGACTTCTTTGATTTGTGTACCTCTTCTATCATTTCAGGAACAGGTCTCTAAGAGAGTTCCCTCTCTCAGGGAATGATCCCCACTATAAAAATTGTTAAGGTATCCTGTGTGATTTGTGTGCTCCTTCTTTCATTTCAGCTACAGGTCAGAACTGGTAAGAATATTTTTAAGTGTCACCTCTCTTGAGGCGACTTAAAACTTAGAAATATTTTTACAAGACCTTATAAGGATTGTCCTTATAAGGAGTTCCCTCTCTCTGGGGTGATCCCCACCATAAAAATTGTTGATATGCCTGATAATTTCGGGGATGAAGCGCAGAGACATCGTAGCTGTAGGATGGGCCGGGAGCAATGGGCGACCTGTGACTGTCTTATAACGACACGTGCCAAAAAATTTAAAAATCTCATCCACTCCTGTTCTCTTTCTTCTATCTCCTCCTCCTCTTCTCTACTCTACTCTCTGTTCTCTTCCTTCCATCTTCTCCTTATTCTCTACTACTCATTCTTCTATTTCTCTGTTCCCCCGTTCTTCTTTTACTTTCTTACTTCTCATGTTGCTTTCACTTATATTTCAATTTCTCTTATATTTCGTTGCAATTCACATATGCAACCCAAATTACACAAGATATTTTTATATTTGAGAAAAATGCCTTCTATAACTGAGATTCGATCCGTGTCTGCTGGCATGCCAGCAGGTGCACGTCTCCACTCGACCACCGAGTGTTTTTATCATTGTTAGTTGATTCTTCTATATATGTTTCTGTTTTTATCATGTTTTTAAAAACAACAACACAATTCAAGCAACAGCAATGCATTGTACACGCTTCACGCACATAAGATTTATATACTATATGATTTAAGACACCGATACTGAAAACAACAAAGGGGATGCCACAGAGAACTAAGAATTAGTTTATAACATTACAATGTGTTTTATTGACAACATTTAAAATACATTTATCTTTCAAATAAAAAAAACATTGACGAATCTCAAATCTCGTAGCAGTAAAGACTTACCTTAAAATGTGCGCACCTCCAATACTTCTTTCATGTATATCGCACATTTCATGACTCCCAAATTCAAAAACTGAGCACCAACGTTGTCTATCAGCAGGAATTAATAATAAATCCAAGTTTTGCCAATATGCGAGAAGATAAACGACTGCCGATGAACAGGCACGATGCGCACATAAGACCAACACCGTTGCAGATAATTCCATAACCGAATAATACTTAGCGACGGGCGACGGAACATCCCAAGCGCACAGGTTGCACCACATTAGCCTGTTACGAAAGACCGATGAAGGCAATTACAGAATTAAAGTAAGAAATGCGAAAAGTCGCACGAAGATCGACTGTCGAACAAAACACGTGTTAACTGTAGAACAGCGCGCGATCGACTAAACTGTAAAGAGAATAAACAAAGCAGATAGCAAAAAACGCTCTCAGTGAAAATACATTTATAAGTTAAAAATGTACAAGTTTCGACTTGTAGTAAGCAAATATAAGTGCCGATATTGAACCGGATGCCATAAAAACTGTCATATTGTAGTTAATGATAAACGCTATTTGCGACACAAGACAACACGTTCATAGCAGTAAATGGCTACCTAATATACTTGTTGATGAGATGTAAAAGGTTATTTTGAATTGACTATTTACAGTGCTGTGCTTTAACGCTGCACTTAACAAAGCAAAGAGTAAATGCAAACTAACAATTTGCACTTGATAATCAAATTTATCAGGTAGTCATGCATTCATAGGAACACTGCTCTCATGTGCAGTAAATACCTAACATTTAACACTAACTGCAACATGACGGTATCGAAGCAAAACATAACACACATTAATTTGACAATACAAATTTGTGCAATATATCTACAGACTAAAACAAGTTTAAAATTATTGTAGCATTTTGTGCACAGAATCAAAATCAGCCGAATTCTGTTCATTTTAGTCCAAATTAAATTTATAACTAAAGTTTTACGTTGCTTATCTCAGTCAAATTAAAAAATAACTAAAGTATAAAATAGAGAATAAAATAACAATTCAATTTTATACCCGGCGTGGAATTGAATATGTCTATAGTAAAAACAATACCTTTCATCAATCGACGACGCCGCGTTAAACCTAAAACGCACACATTATCATAGCAAAAATAAATTATTATAAAAGATTACTTACATTTTGGGAAAAACTAGGCAGTGTCCTGAGAACACCTAAAGTAAAGAAACCTAAAGATGCTTTCTTGTTAGGCTTGTTATATTTTCAACAAAACTCTTTCCAATACAGGGCGAGAAATCATTTTCTCCGCCACCATAATCTGCGTAAAAAATTTAGGAAAACATTAAATTCTATCACTTACAATTTGAAACAAGTCCGAAAATCCTAGTACGTTCTGAGGAAACCAAAAAACGCCAACGTCATGAACGCGATAGCCCCGTGCAGATCAATAGGTCGCTTCCACATCCACCTGAGGTGAAAACAAAACTGCATTAGCATAGCAACGAACAAGGAGTAATTCAAACCATTTACATCCAATTTACTCACCTTGGTACTGCTTCTCACGGCACAGTAGACTAGAATCCGAAAATCTATTTAACAACCCATCTTTAAAAACGGTTCTGTTGTTCTTAAGACGGCGCTCCCGAGAACTACGAGTATGAGAAAAGAGAATTAAATATAGTAGTTTATAGTAGTATTTTTGGGCTAAGCACATTTCTCAGACTTGCTTGGCACATTTCTCAGACTTGCGGAATGCGCAGGCGCACGTTCAAATCTCGGAGCGTGATCGTGCTTCTCCGCGCGCACACGACTAAACGTTTATGTACAACTTCTAAGGCTCACATAGAACACAAATATTTTTGTAAAGGTTACTTCACCCTTTATATGTGTGTAGGACAGTAAAATATTCCTGATTTCTATTTCACTGCTACAGTGATTAAATTAGAACACTTTACATTGTAAAATTGAAATAAATAATTATATAAGTTATTATATTAACTTAATAAAAACAATAGTAAAATTTTATATATTTATGTTATATGTATTATATTTTATGTTGGCATTCGTGGTTGGTATAATTGTGACAATCTACCGAGGCTAAGTTAACACATATCAAACCAAGTGTAAAGCGTACTTTACACTAAATATAACACGTTTATATGCCAATAACTTATATTTACTTCCTTTTCAGTGTTAGTGTTATAATCGTAACTACATTTTCTAAAATTGAAATAAATAATTATATAAATGATTATGTTAACTTAAAACAACAAAAGATTTTTTTTTATATTATTTATTTTATAACTTAGATACAGCCAAATTTCCACCGAGTGTTTTGAAAATTCACACAAATTGTAAGAGTTTCAGAGCAATTTGAAGGCATTTCTAGCGTGATTTCAGGGGGCGGCAATGTCGCATCGTATAAAATGTCTATCGCTTTATCTAAATTTGAAAATATCATTAACATCGCACAAACGGTTCCCGAGATACAGCCAAATTTCCACCGAGTGTTTTGAAAATTCACACAAATTGTAAAAGTTTCAGAGCAATTTTAAGGCATTTCTAGCGAGATTTTGGGGGCGGCAATGTCGCATCGTATAAAATGTCTATCGCTTTATCTAAATTTGAAAATATCATTAACATCGCACAAACGGTTCCCGAGATACAGCCAAATTTCCACCGAGTGCTCTAAAAAAATTACACAAATCGTAAAAGTTTCAGAGCAATTTGAAGGCATTTCTAGCGTGATTTCAGGGGGCGGCAATGTCGCATCGTATAAAATGCCTGTCGCTTTATCTAAATTTGAAAATATCATTAAAATCGCACAAACGGTTCCTGAGATACAGCCAAATTTCCACAGAGTGTTTTGAAAATTCACACAAATCGTATAAGTTTCAGAGCAATTTTAAGGCATTTCTACCGTAATTTTTGGGGGCGGCAATGTCGCATCGTATAAAATGCTTATCGCTTTATCTAAATTTGAAAATATCATTAAAATCGCACAAACGGTTCCCGAGATTCAGCCAAATTTCCACAGAGTGTTTTAAAAATTCACACAAATCGTAAAAGTTTCAGAGCAATTTTAAGGCATTTCTACCGTGATTTCAGGGGGCGGCAATGTCGCATCGTATAAAATGCTTATCGCTTTATCTAAATTAGAAAATATCATTAATATCGTACAAACGGTTCCCGAGATACAGCCAAATTTCCACCGAGTGTTTTGAAAATTCACACAAATCGTATAAGTTTCAGAGCAATTTAAAGGCATTTCTAGCGTGATTTCAGGGGCCGGCAATGTTGCATCGTATAAAATGCCTATCGCTTTATCCAAATTCGAAAATATCATTGAAATCGCACAAATGGTTCCCGAGATACAGCCAAATTTCCACCGAGTGTTTTGAAAATTCACACAAATCGTAAAAGTTTCAGAGCAATTTTTAGGCATTTCTACAGTGATTTCAGGGGGCGGCAATGCCGCATCGTATAAAATGCCTATCGCTTTATCCAAATTCGAAAATATCATTGAAATCGTACAAATGGTTCCCGAGATACAGCCAAATTTCTAGGGCTTCACGCGATACCGAGACTTTTCTCGTATCGTCTCGGTCTCGTCTCGGAAAAGCGAGACGATACCGAGACGAGACGTGTTTTATCAATTTCTCGGCGATAGCGAGACCACAGTCCGAGTCTCGTTTTTGGTCTCGTTATTGGTCTCGTGAAATTTTTTTTATGAAGTGGATATTAGTAAAATGAGAAAAGGGCCAATATATGAAATCCAATAGGCACTATATGCACTTTAGTTAAAATACAATCCACTTGAACAGCCGCACTTAAGTTTTCAAACTTTGCACTAAGAAATTCATATTATGCATCTTGAAATTTTCTGTATTTTTAAGAGCAAACACTAATTATTTGACCATTTGTGAAATATTTCTTTTGTATATTCAAAAGAACAAGTCAGTAACCGAATATCATGACCTTTTTGAAAATTTTG